CTTCCTGATTGAAATTTCCCCAGCATCTCGTTGGGTCCCGGAGAGACTGTACTTCGATCCCTTCACGACCTTTTTACAGTTCGCCATTGTGTGAAATTGGCACAGCAGCAAGATCGCCTGGGGGAAACAATCCTTCAACACTCTTCACTCTTTAAAGTCCTTATCGAAAACAAAAATCTCGATCTCTTCCCACTTTTTGTTCTTTCTCTTAAAGAAAGCTAGAATTGCCTCCATAATCGTCATCCTTTCATCCAGCGCAATGAAGTCCAGAACTTGAACGCCGCGTCCCGTTGCACTTGTAACCAGGAGACTCCCTGCGTTATACAAAAAACCAAGAACATGAGTATAAGGTGCCAGTATAGCGATAAAGGTGCAGCATGGCGGGTAAAATCAACTCAATATTAAAACGGCTTCTTACCGAGATGAAATCCTAAATTGTTTGTACCATATGTCCAATCCATGCCAAGGCTTTCACCCCAACGCTCAAGAACTAGGTTCTGCACCGCAGTCTGGATCACAACTCCACTTGTCACGTCATTTTAAAGCCTAAGAATGAGAACCCCGTCGTCCAAATTCGCTAGTGTATCCAGCATACAGGGAGCTTGTTGTCCGCTATAGTGCTTTTCAATACTCTGCGGACAATGTTGCGCGCTTGCTGTGGTGTTTCTTGGCGATCCAAGGCGCCTGGTAGAAACTCTTGTCCGATGAGACGCAGTGGGGGCATCAGAAAGAAGCCCAATTTGCTCAAATACTAGATGAAATTGATCCAGTACCAAAGTAGCTCGCGTAGATCGTCGCATTTGCGCGGTGATTGTGTGTCCAGGTCTAGGCAGTAATATTCTGCTAAGTGGTATTATGTTTCATCGTTACACATGCTAATGCTTACTCAGTTTCGCCAAAAAACGCTCCCATCTTCATTACATCCTTCCTCTGCCACGCTCTTCACAGTAGCGGTAAAGCGAGCCTTGCATCCGGTGTATCGCTGACCCTTACTGTGAGATTTCTGCGGACAGCCGTGAGTGCAGCGAAACACCTTGTAGCTGTGCTCCATCTTTAGAGGAATTTGACGATCACTCAAACTACAAGAATCATATCACCTCGTCAGTGCAAATTAAAATAACGTATAAGAAAAAGAGACTCACGTATTGTGTTTCCTCACGGTCCTAGTATCTCGGGCTCTGTACAACGGGAAATGATCGCGGTAGTATTCTCCCAAAAGATCACTAAGCTCCTTCCCCGACGAAAAAACAAGCATCGGCATCGGAGGTTTCTTGTTCACAACGCCCACTCGAGCCATCGCCGTCGACACTCGCTCTGGATAAGATTCAGTGCGTTGAACTCGGGGTGTGCGGTCGGCGCTCGGGTCTTGGAAGTGCACTTTCACGCCTGGGTCCTGGTCACCACAATGCTCTTCGTTGCTTGATGGCAGAAACAAAGTCTCCGCGACGCTTTCTCCGCCGCTACCAGTCGTCTCCACGCAGGATCGACGTCTCCGACGCGTCTCTGGCCTTGTGACTCGCTGCGTCCGACTCTTTTTACGCTTGGACGCTTAATTACTTGGTCTATGATGTGGGCGTGGAGCTGAAACAAAGTTTAATCGCAATTAGTCGCATCATTTGCAATGGCTTCAAATCTAGCGCATAGAGGAGCGAACCTCGCCCATTGCGTCGTGCAGGGGTTTTATTTATTCGTAAAAAATGATCGATAAAGTGAGCTTGGGTCAGAATTCTGCATACACCAAATCAAGACTCTTTCCAATTTCGTCCAGAATGTCCTGCAAAGTGTCGCTCGAATCGCTCGCAGGCTCGAAGTCTTCGTCGCGGTCGTCGTCGCTGGAAGACGAGCTACGCCTGAATAGGTAGTCGAGTTCGTCTTCAAATGGTAATAACATATGCCAGCAAGCCTCAAATAAACCAAACAAGCTGCTAGATGTCGTACCGTCAGACATGGTTTGCGAAGTGCACTTTGTCCCGAGTGAGAACGGTGACAACCACCATGGGCACGGTTCCCGTTCCCTCTCTAGGGTGACCTGCGAGCCGCCAGTTGAGGTCGGTTTTTGCGTTGCGATCTTCTAGTGACGGGTGATTAACCTTCGCGGGAAAAGCGCGCGGAAACGCGCGATGGCTTCTGACGCGTGGCGCGTTTTTTCGAATGAACTCCCAAAACCCAGCGGCTACGATTTGTCGTAATTAGTTGATATTGTACTGTATGCGTCGGTTATTTTGGCGAGCTGTAAATATGACGGTAATTTTTACACACTCGAAAAAATCAACGAAAAGTAAAGGGTGCTTTAATTTTGAAGCACCCTTATTGGCTCGTTTTATGCAAATTCCTTTTGGCGCTCGAACAACTTCGCATCTGCACCAAGCTGGACGTGCGATGGCAAATACGAACGAAAAGACGGCGTATTTTCAATTGGTGCCCATTATTCGCAATTCGTACTTAGGCTCGTATGTAACACGCGGTCTCAAATACCGGACGTGGAGCAGGTACGAGGTACCGGTATTTGGTATTTCAATCCCTTCAGGAGGGTACTGGATGTGTAGCAGGAACGAAGTACCGGTATGTGGTATCTCAAGCTGTAGCGTACAGTACCTTGATTTTCGTCATCTACAGGAAGTCGAAAGAATGGTGATACAGACGTGCGCCGGGAACCCATTTCACTCCGATCTATTAATAAGGGTAATCGTGACTTTGCTGCTTCCCATTAATTTAGAAAGTAATTTGTATTTTGGTTCTTAACTGACAGCTTCCAACTCTCTTATATTTTGGACAGCTCCGATTGCACGTGCTGCTATTTATTCTGTAGTGGTTTCTTAAGTTGCTTAAATTGCTCCTTTAGAACGAGTAAACACACGCCGCAATTCAATGGGTCAAGATCAAGAATGTAAGAAAATGTACCTGGTAAGTCACAACTTATTTACGTTTTTCAACTAAAAAAGAAGTGGCTCGGCACTCTCATTTTCTGCGAATTGATATCCCATCAACGCCGACTGTAAGATTTTGTTGCCGGAGCGGCCTTGCTCAAGGAGTTTGACAAGAATCAGAAGGAGATAAGCCTACAAGGGCTATTACAGGTCGTGCAGTATGTAGAACGTGCTGACGTACTACTTGGAGCTGCGCGAGTTGATATCCGTGTGAAGTTTGGATGTACTGGAGGCGCGTTCTTATTTTAGAGCCGCATTCTCGTTTTCGTGGTAACGAACTTATGGACGTTCACGCGATGAAACTACCTGGAAGTCCACCTTGTTCCTGAAGCTATTACGGTCTTTTAAAAATGGACAAACACACATTATTTTCACTCTGCTAGCGAGCGTAGTAATATTTGGCGGCAGCGCCCTCTTCTTTAACATCTATGACTTCTCAAATTTCTGAGCTTCTTCGTGCAAAATACGACTCTGTAATTATCAACTCGAAAGCATCTCCAATTATTATTTGGGGTGCTGATCGTATCTAACACGGTAAACTTGTCCCGTGATCCAATAATTTTTATGGATCAACATTAGCGTGGCTACCTTCTAACTGTTAGACGGGGAATACCGAAGAATGAGGGATGAGTCTTAAAAATGTTGCGCACCCAAACGTCATTCGGACTATTGTACTGAGCATCGCCGTAAAAAAGTCACTACTTTAGCGCGACAGTGGAGCTCAGAGCAGTTTTCAACGACCAATTTGATTTTTCTACGACAAAATGTGGGCCGGAGAAGCTGCCAAGATGCCAATGGATACCACATCCGGATCCCTGAACATGATACAAGCTTTGATACGATCAGCACCAGGATCCTCGCTTCGCAAGGTTCGTGTCAACAACAATGCGATCTTGAGATCACAAACGAAGTTCCTTGGGCCTTGACAACACAATTTGACGCCTATACTTTAATAACACTGTACTTCTAAGACTTGGACTTCGTAAGCTCAACCCGAGCTAAAGAAAAGTGAGCTATCGGTACGCACATGATCATGCCTTGTTTACGGTGACGATGGCTACGTTAGAGCTCGACAAAGGAAGCTTCGTGGGGGGATCATGAAGGGCCGAGAAGGGCTATTAGCCACTGCTGCTGAGTACTCTCAACATGGCCGCATGCTGTTCACTCCCACACAATGATCATCGAGGACGGTGAAAGTCGTTGCTGTCGTGGTCTAGCGGGTGGTGTAGCTAGCGGTTTCCGATAAATATCACCATCGACACAGACTTACGGTACGCGGCTGGCGTTGATATCCGGGGAGAGCCTCATGGAATTCCACGACGAACAAGAACGCTTTCGGTTACATCGACGGACGGCGTCGGCTTCGTTCGCGGATGTGTGTCGCCGAGTCGAGTGCTGCTTGCATAGGAAATGCCGGGAAGGGACACGAGCAAGTTGAAGTCGTTGACTTGCAAGGCTAAGTTCGCATCAGGTTGCTGTGAGCACCTAAGAGCACAAGGAACCAATCGCCTGTTTCGCTAGTAGGTTCGCAGCGCTTCTGGCGACGTGGTGAAGGCAGTGGAATTCGATAAACGGGCCAATCTCGAGGAATACAAAACCTCATATCACGACCGACCGCGAGCGATCGGAGGCAGAGTCCCCACCTCCGACCGGACGGATTCAATAGTGAATTTAAGTGGTTTGATGCGGGGAAGACGACCGACACAGACAGGCCAGACCTAGACGCGGGTCGCTATCGAAGGGTTGAATCTTCTTCAGAAGCCATTTATCGGTTCTTTTAATGTCGCTATATCCGGGGGGCATTTTCACCGACCGACCATCTGTCGAGCAAAACAAAAAGCATACTTTCTCGAAGTGCGTTTGCGCTGCATAATTCGACCGCCCTCCATTCCCTGGCGCATATTTTTATAACCGCCTGGGAAGCCCAACGACTTCGCTCTGTTCTGCTCAGCAAGCTTAAGAACCGACGGCCAGTTCCCAATTTGCTTTCTGGTGCTCACTTGGATTCGTCGATCGGAAAGCAACAAGCCGCAACAATCAAAAGGCAGCACATTTTCAATGCACTACTTCCCCATGGACTCCCAGTCGTCGTCGTTAATTGTATCACCTAAAGCGCGACCGCGCGTGTTCAGCTACAAGCGGCGCCGCAACGGTGCGTTGATCGCTGCTGTGAAGTCCGAGGACGGGTGCGACTTTGGTCTGCGGAGCGCTGGCGAGAGTTGGTGCACCACCTCAGGCGAGAGCTCAAGTGACGAGAACGACAGCAGCTTCGAGGTCGAAGAGGACCTTGTTGAAGAAGAGGAGGCGATGGTGGCCGCAAAGCGGCGGCGGCGCGCAGACCTGGAAGGGCTCAAGAAGTCGGTGCGGCATATGGAGGCGCAAGTAGTGGATGCGTCCGCCCAGCTGAAGGACCTCGCGGCGCTTGTAGCGCAAGTTATAGCTCGACGCCAGCAGCAGCAACTCCACGCATAGATCACACAAGTGCCGCCGATGATATAGGCGCTCCGTACCGTAGTTTATTACGAACGACCAGGCGAGCCTTCGTCGGTGTTCGTGGCACGAACTTCGTGCCTAGTCCATAACCATAAATCAAAATGTGAAGGTTTCTCTTGAGTCATACATGTACATGTTTTGAGCGCCGGCAAAAATCAGTCTTGGCAATCTTGAATGGGCATTGTTATCGCATCCAGTCTTAAGCCGAAGACAAGACTTATGTGTACATGTGGCAAACACGTTGCCAACACTGGCCACACACAAATTGTTTGACCGTCGAACGGCGACCAGCCGCTGGTCCAGCGAGCTTCCGGCAAGTTCCGTCTCTTCTACGGCCGGTCGTGCTGCTGGGCATCAGTATCTTGACTTGAGTACATGTAACTTCGGGCTCACTTAAACATGGCGGTCGGCGGTGAAAATGGTAGCGTGTTGTTCAGTGTTGTTCGATTTGAAAAGCGCGATCATTGAAGTAAATGTACTGCGCCAACTTAGCAAATTTAGTGCTTGCAAGAAGAGCTGACCTATGACAATGGCAAGCTCGGCCAATGATGACTAAAACACATGTACCGGGGGGGGGCAGTGATGGGTAAAAATGTAGTGGCATTGATCAATACTACTTGCAATGCCATACTGCAAGCATTCAATACATACTGCTGGAACGCACGAAACTGCAATATAATAGTACTGAAGCCCTCACACCAAACCAACTATTCGATCAACCTTCCTCTTACCGCCCTCGGGCCGTAGGGGAGTGTCTGCGCTCGATCCGAAGCGCTTAACCCGTCAACTTCGAGAAGTTACTGGTTTTGAAGCATGACAGGCATACTGACATGTGTTGCGCAGGTTGTGCCAGATATTGCAATAAATATTGCAAGGTCGGTGAATATTGCAATTTTTACTGCTAAGTGATGGCTTACTCCAATACATATTGCATAGTGTTGTCTTCTTTGCAATGCCCTCCCGTACATTTTTACCCATCACTGCTCCTGTGCCCCGGTTTCTTGTTGCACGCCACCGACCAGCGGTATCTCCGTCTTGGGGCCCTGCGGCGACAAGTTGTGCGTCTCCTCCACGAACCAAAGCTTGTTGAAAAGTGCCGGCTGCGGGTCGACCGCCAGTTCGGACGTGATCTCATCGCACCGGGTGCGCAGACGGTTGAGGTCGATGTCATGGACGTCGGGTGACAGTACGCGTCCCAGCGTCGCGTGGATGATCACGCGCGTGTCTGTCTTGGGCGCGTACGTAAAGGTCTCCTTGGCCACGCTGCGGATGTAGTCCACCGAGAATTCGGTATGCGCGTTGACAACGTCATCGCTGAGCTTCTCGTTGGCCGGCAGGCACTGGAACAGCATGATGATGGCACCCGAAGAGGCCATGAGCACCTTCACAGGCTCCATTCGGAACGGTGAAATGCGTGTGCACATAGTCTTGAGCTGCGCCACGTCCTGGGGGAAGCGCACCTTCGCGTTTGGGGCCAAATCGCCCGGGTGGGACGTGTGGAACAACGTGACGTGCATGAGCCCCTGTGGTGTCACACAGGCCACGGCGTTGTCGGTCTCGGGCTCACGCGGAAGCAGATCGGTCAGCTCTCTGCCGATAGAATGGCAGCGCTCCGCCATGTCAAGGGGGATCGGCGCACAGACGAGTCCCACGCCGTCGTTCTCGCTAGAGAACACGTACGGCTTGGACTCGAGCGTCCGGCCCGTCGTGAAGTTTTGTCTGTATCAAAAGCATCGGTCAAGGATGGGAGACATGTTTCCATCGTGGGCACACGAACCTGGTCTTGCGCACACCTTCTCGGTTAAGGTCCTTCTTACCGCCCTCGTATAGTTCCTCGTACAGTTTGGCGCGCTGCTGGCGCCAATGTGCTTCCTTCTTGGTGCACTTTGAAGACCTCATTTCTGGAAACTTAGCTTGGACTAAAATTTGTGAGTCTTGCTTATCAACCAGGCGGATTTTCGGAGATCGACTATTGATGCAGGGTTGCTGGTACAGTTGTGCACCAACCTTAACTTGATATTTGCCATCCTGCGCCCAACTGCCTACATTTAGAGCCTTGAAAACTCTCTACAGGCCGCAAATAGACTGCTGTTGACGTACAAATACGTAGAAATCCTTGTAAACGGTGCGGCTATAATTTTGCACCAGACAGTATACAGATGACCCTCTCTGTATTGATACGTTGGGAGCCCCATTTTATTATTATATAGAGGAAATGAGCTGTACCCAATATAGGGTGCACACGACACTAAGGGTCGGGAAACAGGCTAACGAATGAGCAGCGACGGCAGATCTCCCGCCACAAAACCGAAAATCCAATAGTAAGCCAGGCCTAGCTTGCGCTGTGGGCTCAAAACGTGTTCAGCTACAGCGCGCTTTATCAACAGGCAGGTGGAAAACATCATAAAGCACAAACATCTACTCGAAGCCA